ACATTTGCATAATGACTGAAACCAGCCCACTGAAGGAACAATGGGCTGTGAGGTCAGTTCCTTCATCTTAATTATGCAAATAAGTCCGTAGGTTGTCATTTGTCGTGTTGGATTCCAGAACATCGAGATGGTACGACCCAAAGCACTCCACGCTCTGCTGCAGGATTTTGTGCTAATTAGCACGCTAAACCCATGCATTTTAACCTCTGAGCATGTTAGCATGCCGTTAGCCTGCAAACTCTGTAGTAACCATGTGCAGAGAAACTGACGCAGAAGGTTGAAGGTAGCAGTATAACTTCAACTGTGACTGTTTCCCAGCCAGACACCAGTAATGAGACCAAACTCACTCCACTGTTTACGGTGCGTGATGCATCATCTTCTTTAGAAATGTTTAATAATTAATAAGCGAACACGCCGCCTCATATTTGTTACCCAAACACCAGGTAGCGCCCGTGCCTCAGCGCCACATCGTCGGGCACCGACCACAACGTCGAGCAGGAAGCGTGACGTTTAAGCGTTTGTCAGAACTTCCTGTCTGACGCAGTAGAGGTCAGCAGGTTTTCCTCTGTCACGGTTTATTTTATTGTGTTTTCACCGGAATCTGTCTTTATTAGTGCTGAGCAGAGAGCTGCGTTCCTTATTCATCTGAGATCAGAGTTTCAGTTTCTGGGCGTCTGATTCAAACGCAGCATAAAGCAGAGACTACGCTGCGTTTTCTGAAAGGAAAAATAACTTTTTACGCTGCTCTGGATCTTTGTGGCTTCTGTAGCGCAGTTGGTCTTCAAAGCGGTGGTGTAATTTATCTCCGGCGCCTTCGTGAACAGTGTTCCTCTGTTATTTTTATGTGGGAAGGAACTACTTTTTCAGATGTTGTATTATTATGTGCACGAGTCACTTTGCCTCAGCTTTTTTCCCCTGTGGGATAAATAAAGACTTTTTTTGGACTGAAGCGAGGCAGGTAAAAGGAGCAGAAACCTTTTTCAAATATCACTGACAGGAAGCGTTTTACTTCCCACTCCCACACTTACTGTTGGTTTTTTAAAATGCTGCATATTGATTATTGATTCCAGCTGTCAGGAGCTGATTTTGAAGGCACCCGAAAGTGGCGACAGTCTTTCAAAAGTGACACCGTAAGAAGTAGAGTGTCTGCCTCGTTTACAGCCGTTTGTCTTGAGGAAATCATTTGAACCGATTCTATTTTGATAAGCAGAAAGCCGTGTAGAAACATTAAGACTTTCAATCTTCTGTCAGAACAGACAGAGGAGGGAACAACCGGCTCACTCTGTCATCACACTTTGCCCCAGGCGGAGCCTTTTATCTATCAAACTTTACCGCACCGGGGGGTCTGTTGCTATTTTTGGGCCTCCAATAATGTTTTTTTCCCTAAATTTTCCTGAAGTTGGTGTTTGTTGCTGA